TCTGCATTTCACACATTTTCACTTTCTTTTCTGCATTTCACACATTTTCACTTCTTTGTCCGAAATATGCCGACTAAGTGTGTTGTATGAGGAATGCATGAAGAGTGATACCCTCTTGCAAATTTCACACATTGCTACATCCTCCTACAACACATTTAGTATATTTTGGACAATATTGACGACAACCTTCCCAAACAAGTGAAAATATGTGAAATGCAGACTTTCGTGTTCTCGATTTGACGTCACATTACCCGCTAGAACCATTCCTCTTTAAACTCGGTCGTGAACCAAGATGGTGGCTGATTTTGTGTATTTTGACTGGGCACAGAAAATTGAAGATTTGAGCAAATAAAAAAATTTTTTCACAGAAATATTCTGAAAAATACGCTTATTTCATTAAGCAAAAAAAAATTGGGGGTTTAGGTGCACTTTAAGACTTAAAAACTGACATTTTGAGCGTTGGCCTTTCTTCAGAGCTGATGAAGGGCTAATGCCTGAAGTGTCAGCTTTTTAACTTTTTATGGTGGTCAATTTACAATTTAAACTGAAAGTGTAGTGTGATCATCTGGGTGAGTGTAGTCCTGAGAAGGACTGTTTTCGGTTGTACTGACTGACATTTCAACAACCTGTGCTGAAGTCATGGTCAGAGTCAAGTGAATAGTTGTTGCTGACAACTACTATTCACTTGACTCTGATGATGACTTTAGCACAGGTTGTCGAAATGTCAGTCACTACCACCGACATCAGTCCTTCTCAGGACTACACTCACCTGGACAATCACACTACACTTTCACATGTTACCTCCGGGTTCAAGCCATTTACTGAATTTCAACTGAGTTGATACCACCAAATTACCTTTTACTGAACAGGTTAATTTTGAATGACCCCATCCATTGGTTTTAATGCAAGGAGCAGTCAGAGGTTACTTTTGAATTCAAAAGTAATCAACCTCATGATTTACCCCCGGGGAAGCTTTGTGATGTGGATGTTTTTAGTAAGCTTTTGATAACTGCAACATTGAAGTGTGGTATATTTTTTCAGGCCTCTTGTAAAGATGAGCCTCACTGAAATCTGTGAAAATGCAAAGATGGCACGTGAATATGCCCTCCTTGGCAACTATGACACATCTCTGGTGTACTACCAAGGAGTTATCCAGCAGATACAAAGGCACATTCAACAGCTTAAAGACGATGCCATCATGAAACAAGAATGGCACCAGGTAGCTTTTGTTGTTATAGAGGAACATTTAGAAACTAGAACTGTTTCTCCTCACAACAGTAGGAGGTCATAACTAAAACAAGATGAAAAGGATGAAAAAAGTAGCTTTTGCATTAATGATCAATCATATGGACTGACAAGGCAATGATGTGTCATCATAATTAAGACTGGAAATTTTTCTCTTCTTTAGATTGATATAATGATTCTTTTTGTGACCTTAATCTTTATTTGTATTCCTAATCACTTGGTTCTGAAGGTCTTTCTTCTTGTGTATGTTCACTATACTATGCTAGTAAAATTTCTATGATATTATAAGGTACGTCAAGCAATTGTCAAAGAGTATGACCAAGTTAAAGAAATCAATCAAACACTGGCAAATTTCAAGAAGGACACTGTCCATTTTGGAGGACCTCGACGATCCCATGAAGAGGAGCCTACCAGGGATCCTGATGTTTGGCCACCACCTACTCCAGTAGAAAGAGACAACAGGTATGCTGGAAATAAAACAATGTCATAAAATTAACTGTGTCCCAATGGGGTAGATCAAGTTTAGATATTTACCACATCACCTTAGGGTCATTCCATAAAATAACAGGAGAACCATGAAAAACATAAAAAAAAAAAAAAAAAGTCTAACCTTATACTCAGCCTGTCACTTGAAATGTGATGGTTAAGGACAAGCAAATAAGAGAAGAGGAGGTCATTATTCCTACTCTAAATCAACCCTTAATTCACAAAAGATAGATATTCATTCCTTTTTTAATTTTTGAACCTAAGCTGTGTCCTTTTTGGAACAATAAAACTTCTTTGGTAACCCTTTCACGAGTTTAGGAGGACAAATAGTGATTTTAAAATTAGTCACACTCGGAGCTGTAAAGTACAGAGTTTTTCTCATTTCAGTGAGCAATGTTGTCCCCTAAAAAATATGTTGTTTGAAATAAACCTGTAAGTTCTACTCATTACTGGTTTCCACCATAGGCCCTCTAAGCCAGCTCCTCGACCTGTTGTCAGAAAGAATGATGATTATAATCCATCAGTGGGCCGCTCATCTGCAGCACCAAGCAAGCGTCCTGATCGAGACCGAGCTGGAGATAGAGGAGGACGCAAACCAGTTTCTGCACCCAGTAGCAAGCCATCTCGGGATGCAAGGCCTACAGACAGAGGGCGTGGCCAGCCAAAGGGGGACAAGGATAGAGGAGGCACCAAGAAAGAACAAAAAGTAAATGGTCTGCTGTTTTTCCTATTTTTTATTATTTTGTCTTTTGTTTTTGTCATTGATGTTTTGTTTTAAAGAAAATAAAGCAAAACTTTGCAGTGTAACCTATGGTTATGAATTATGGATTGAAACTGTATGTTCAAACTTTCTAGGGATCTTTGAGCTCACCCAAGGTACAACTGATAGCTGTCTTAGCTGTTCCTGGAAAAAAATTTTTTGTTGCCAGCAATAATGCCACTTCTTTCCCCAATGTCTGGTAGATTATTGCCCTAATCATGGGGAAGTTCTTAGAGGAGAGTATAAGTTTGAGAATGATTAAGTTCATAGCGGCCTTCAGGGCAAAGATGAAAGTATTAAAGTCGACCTATTTTGTGAAGGAGGATGGTAAAGGTGACGGTGATGGTGATGGTGAGAAGAGATTTGATGGGAGTGGTTATGATAAAGACCTGGTTGAGGCCTTGGAACGAGACATTTTACAGAAAAATCCCAATGTACACTGGTATGTTTTTCAGCAAATTGCTAAATTAGTGTTAGTGTTTTGGCATACATGTAACATGAAGTAAGGGTGTTAGCTCAGCTCTCATTAGGTATTTCCTGGAATAAGTGGGACAGTATACAGTGTCACAATATAACTTGTAACTGGTTGATTGTTACAGCTACAGATCATGACATATTTTTGGGGTAACTATTGAAGGCTAATTAGTAAACCCCAATTAGTTAACCAAGAAACAATAGATCACTGTTTAAGCATTCCAAGTAATGTTCTTTCCTTCTCCAGAAGTACTTCAATACAGTAAACACCCGAAAATAAGGAGCTTATTTTTTGGCAGTCTGGCAAAAAAGGTTCTTGTTTAAAGGGGTAGTTGTTGGTAATTTTGGCAAAACAGGCTCTTAATTAGGTTCTTAATTGCTAAGAGGGGGATACAGTTGTCATTGTTTTGCATATATATCATAAGAATAATAAATAAGCTTTATACGAGCTAAAATTATATATAATGCTGTATAACTGTAACTTTCAACTACTGTAACAAGAAAATAATCAACTCAACAACTGTGAATAAATGCAGTATGTCAGTAACTTGCGGTTTGTTTATCCTGTAATTTAGCTGTAACCCATATTATAAGAACCTGCTTGATCATGTTTGGCTAAACAGGTTCTTATTTAAAGGGGTATTAAAATGGCAAATTTCTGCCAAGAGGTTCTTAATCCACTAGATTCTTAATTTAGGGTGTTTACTGTAATAGGATTGGAATGTAAGTCATGCCTTAAAGTTGTTTGAATTCCAACTTTGTTTTGTGTTCAGAGTATTTGACCCTGATATATCACTGCTCCTCAGTCTTGAACAGATGTAACTATTTTTTATTTAGTTGTCTTTTTTTTTTCTGTTTTTAATGAAGGAGTGACATTGCTGGACTAAGTGAAGCTAAAAAGCTGTTGGAGGAGGCTGTGGTACTTCCCCTTCTGATGCCAGATTACTTTACTGGTATTCGCCGTCCCTGGAAGGTACACAAATATCATCTGTCAAATGTCTGTGAGCCATCTGTG